GCGTAACTACGATGAAAAAATCGCAGTTACGCGTAGTTATGGTGAAAAAATCACAGTTACGCGTAGCTGAGTCGCATTTTTTTGCAATTACGGGCCAGAGCGCGATCACTTTTGCGGCAGAAATGCACCACGATTGCTACATGAGATGATACAGATTAGGTTTTATTTTCATTCTTTTTTTATTATGAGTTAAAAGAAAAATTTTTAAGCACAGAAAATAAAAAACTTAAAACTATAAAATTAAAACTTTTATAAAAGATTAAAAACAAAAGTTTGAGAAATAAAACAATTACTAAAAAATTAAAAGTTAAAAAGTATTTAAAATATAAAATAATTAAAGAAAATAATAAATAGGTATATGTAAAAATCAAAAAATTAACATTTTGAAAAATTATTTACAATTTAATCAACAAAAGAGAGAAACTTAGATTAGAAAAATTTTAAAAATAAAAAACCTAAAAAAAAGCTCTAGAAATGTTTTAAAAATTTTTTAAATTAATAACAAAATCTAGAAAAATTTTAAAAATTGAAAAATAAAAAAATATTAATAATAATTAAAATAAAAAAATATTAATAATAATTAAAATAAAAAAAATATTAATAAAACTTAAATGAGGAAAATATTTAAATATTTTTCGGAACATGTATTCTACTGTCTATAGTAGAATGTGTTTATGAACCGAACTTTCGATGAACAGTGCTTTTTATAGTAACTTTCTATGACTAATTTTTAGTGTTCGAGAGTGGCCAATTACAAATGAGAAGGAATTATTTATAATTGGACAGTTACAGTTACAACGGATCGTATGATGCGATCACTAGAACGCAGTTACGCTGATCTGGGTCGCATTAGGTGTAGTATTTAAGAAAAGTCTTCACTACGATCAATGCGCCGTATTTACACGTAACTACGACGTAAAATTGGCTATGCGCATAACTGCGACGCAGTTGGTAAAAAAGAGGCGACATGGGTTATTATTTGATATCAGAACAAAATCATTTGAAAAACCGACCCAATTTTCTTTCTGCAAAAAGTTTTGAAATATCATCATTTTACAATTTACTGCATTGCATTAAAAAAAAGACCAAATACCATTTTGTGCTACGTATAAACCAGTATGCAAATAGAAAATAAAGAATAAGATCAAGTTTTTTACTCATTGTCGACATCTGTGTTATGTAAATTTAATGATTCATCGTGAGAGTACCGAATACAAATCCTTCCTGTCAAGACTATTATTTTGCCTTCCATTACAAACTTATTTTTTAACACCAACATATCTTGTTTGCAATTTTATCCAACAAGGTTCGGAATAGATAAACCATCGGATCAGTGGTTTCAGCAAATGGTCAAACAGTCATAACAATTCGTACAAGGTTCGAAATCGTCATCGTAGGAAGCTTGGAATTTTAATACATCCTCTTATCTATGCACACCGATCGCAATCACACGCAACATACGCTCAATAATTTTTCCTATAGACTATGTAAATAAACAGACATTCGGATGAACAAGCAATAGAGTCAGTGTGCACAAAAAAGTTCGAGGATGAAAAATCTTCACCAATTTATCTTGGTACGCTTTATTTCAGTTTTTAAAATTTTTATAGTATCGATCTATGAAATTTCAACTCGAATTCTCTTATTTCTATTTACATTCTGTTTTCTTCGTCTGATCTGTTACCTTCATATGGTCACGCTCAGAGACAACATCGAAGCATTACTATCGATCAAATTTTTCAATAACCGTCGATTCTAACAATTACATCAGAGAATATCATTAGGAATCAGAATGAAAACATTTCGATGCTTCCTTCTTGTGAGTTAAATAATATAGAAAGAGCGTTGGACATATTCAATGATGTTATAATATATTTTCGTGTTTATTTATACTCTTCTTGTAATCAAAAAATACAATTTAAAATTTAGTGGACTGTATAGTTGCTGTCGATTTATGACCTGCTTTTGTTTTTAAATTTCGCAAAAACGAACAACAATTATATATACGAACGAAAAAATAAATCAATGTTCTACGACGATAATATAACCATGGAATAGATATAGACGATCCAACTGTAACGATCAACTAGATTAGAGTAGCTTGTGCCACACTCGGCAAATATGTTTATTAGGCTACTTCAAGTATCCAGAGTGTAACGACAAAACTAGAGTGTCGCCTATGCCCGTCGGCATGATGGTGTATTGTGTCATCTGACATTTCCAGAGTGTCCCAACGTCATACATAACACACATATATATATAGGAGAGATAGAACAGAGACAGAAGAGAGATACATTAGAACAATGGAAAGAGAACAGAAAGATGAGGAAGGAGAATGATCGAAGTGTGCCATCAATATCGGCACACCAACAGTAGCTAAAACTCATGCACTAGCATTACTGCCAAATCCTAAACCTCCAATTGTGATTATTGATCCAATATAACCCAGGTCGATCAAAACGGATCACCGTAAAACAGCCGTTTTAAACCGAATTAAGGCGTTTTAACAGGGGCAGTATTACGGACATACACGGACACCGTATATCAGCCGTAAAACCTTGTAAAGCCGGCGTAATATTATCGTATTCTATAGAATATACGGCCGTATTACTGCCCCTGCTATACGGGAAAAATACTGCACGTAAAACAGGCGGTATATGTATCGTATACAACCGCTTACTGATCGCTTTCTTCAACCGGGGAAAGTCCGTCCACCGATGTTCCAATCAATGCTAGAATGAGAATAGAAAACCATTAGAATTCTTATTGAAATAAACTCACGTTATACTACAAAGTGCATTGTCAATAGTATCAAAGATGAGCAAAAAAACGATGTTATTTTTTTCTAATTGATTCAGTAAAACTCATTGAACTACCGAAGAAAAAAATTCTAGTCAGATTTTATTTTCTATGGTGTTCCAATGAGAAAGTAAGCAGAAAGACAGAGAAAACTCACCAGTCTTTGTTTATAGAATAAGATAATAAACGACATATAAGCAGTTTACGCAAAGTAGATTTAATTACCATTCATATTATTGGTTTTTTTTTCTGATTGAAACTGGAAAACCAATGAGTTACTTGTTGAATGAACGTTGTAAATAAAGTTTTTCTTCAAAAAGTAACAAAAAAATAGCTGAGCGATGGAGCTATTTCCCAATATCTTGAGAAAGAGTTCTTTCACTAGTGATCCGATTTACCTAGGGTGATACTGATCTTTATTCGAGCTATTCCTAGTGATCACTCGAAAAAACAGCTTTAACAGACGTCAACAGGCACTTATTGCTCAAGATATATTTTGTGAGTGGCCAGTAGCAAGCTCATCAACAATGAATGCTGTACAACATCCGAACGTTAAAATGTCTACTTTTATGTGTATCATCGTTGTCGTTGTTCTTGTTCTTCACTACCTGTGGCTGTATCTGCAAAACAAGCAAACATGCAAACAATAAGGCTCTCAGTTTTCTAATATATGTGTTTTACACATCTGAGTATCACTATTTACGTTCTGTTGATTCAATCTCTGATCAATATCTTTCGATAGCATATTCTAATTAACAAAGCAAAACCTTTTTTTCTTTGATATCAATACAAAACTACATACCAACAAAGCTTTTTGTTCACGTGGTAAATCAACATTTCCTGGATCCTATAACAATTTCTAAAAAATATAAAGATGATGAGACTATAATGAACAAAGTGAACATCATACCTCATTTATTTGGTCTACTGCACATCGCAAATCCATCATGATTTCATTGGCTTGTGACATCGTTTTAATAGCTTCTTTACATACGAAACGAGTATTTCTTCACCAAGAGCTTATTTATCACGATAACCTTGTAGCAAAAAATTGATTCACTATCTTTGAAGTACACGATGAAAGACTAGTTTCTAAAATAGAAAAGTTTCAATGATTATTAAATAGTTGGAAGGATTGCGTGCTTTTTTCTAAGAGAAATGAATGACAATCAGGTCAGGTACTACTACACACTATGCACAACTCTCACCCACACACCGTTCAAACGCACATGTAATGTAATTAGTGTGGGTGAGAGCAAGTGCATGTTGTGTAGAAGTACCATCTCATCAAGTTGATATTCAGAGATTAAAAAGAGCTGCTTAGGTAAAGCGCACAGGAAAGAACGGTATATTTCCGAGGGAGAAAAATATTGAATTACGCGAAAGTGTTTCAAATGAGTCTGTTTTGTTTTGAAAAGAAATTAAACATAATAAATAAATAAATAAAAAATAACGATTCCCACGTGAATCAATCCGATACTGAATCCCATCGGATTCTATGGGGTCCTACCGTCCGACGAAATCCCGTTGGATTCCTGGTTGAAGAATCAATGTCGAATCCGACAGTCGTATTTCCAATGACATCCGATTGTCGGAACCAATGAAATCCGAAGCATTCCGGTTCCAATTGACGGTTACGGTCGGATTTTATTAGTTTCCGATATTAGGTTCCGATATCGATTCCGAAACCAGGAATCCGACGATAATCCGATAGCTTCCTTGCGCCTTCCGAAGAGCCCCGTCGGGTTCCAATAGGAGCCGATCGGCACTCATCGGATCCTAGGCTAAGATTCATTCTCCTGGGTTGGTGAAAAAATGGATCCAGTCGTTCAATATTGTGCAGATACATGATAGAGGAAGCTAACTTATGTAATTTCTAAAACTTTTGAAGCTTTTAAAGGAAAATGTTGTTAGAAGTAAAGATAATAAAATTGAAGAGTTCATCAATTTCTTACTCTGCGAAATTGCCGTTGTTGGGCTACAGATGGCGCTAAAGGTGAATCGAGTTAGACTGGTGATTCAGCCATTCGTTCCTATCCTTTATCTCTAGTAGTTGCGAAATTTTATAAAACGATTTGAACTTAATGTAAATATCTTTTGTGATAACTTGATATTTTTAACCGTAGAAAAATTTATTCTAATTTATTTTATTTGTGTCGATAATTTAATGACAAACATATTTTCATCAAAATAAGTGTTCGATGAAATTTACTAGATTAAAATCATTTAGAAGCAAAATTTTGGTGACTATTATAATAACAATAATCTATTTTGTTTATACTATTAGAAAAAAATTTATTGTATCTTCTCCATGTTCTCATCTCTATAATGTGAATTCATTTCAAATATGTGCTTTATCGAAGAAAATTTGCAACATAACTATTTTACTCAATTCTTATAATAAGTATCGAAATTGCATTATTAAATATTCATATACTGATGTAGATTTTGTTGTGTTTGATGCAGTTAATGGTTTAGGTAATCGTGTTCTTGGTTTAATAGCTGTCACTACGTATGCTCTTGTGACCAGCCGTGTTCTTCTAATTAACTGGCAACCAGGTGACAACCATCAAGTTTATTTTGAAGATCTTTTTTTACCAATATCCGACAAGGTTCCTTTTTCTTATCAATATTCATTAGCCAGATTAGCCAACCTTATTAGAAATAGATGGATAAATGAAATCGAACATAAAACAAAAGACAGTCAAATACCCACCGATTGGGCATTCTATTTTGATCGTGAGATTTTATGCAATAATAAAGTATATAGTCAATCATGGTTCAAATGGTTGAGATTTTATATTTTAAATTTTATTAGTCATCGTGTTAAATGGATTCGAACTGATCAATATTTTGTACCGTTATTGAAACGAAATGAAAAGACAAAACAAGCATTCGTTACACTTTTTCAAAATGGACAAGTTTTTTCTGAATTAGCAAAAAGTCTTTTACATCCTGTGCCGAAAGTTAATTCAATTATCGAAAACTTTCAAACAAAATATAATTTAGAGAATCATTATGTTGCGATTGGAGTTCATATGCGCAGTTGGTCAACAAATATGATCGATCACATTGAGCCATTTCAAAAATGTATTGAGCATGTTATGCAGAATGTTAGTAAGTAAGTAAATAAATAGTTAGATTCTATTTAAAGTATTAGGTATTAGGAATTGATAATGAGATTGTTTTTATTGAAAACAATTAGATTTATTATCATTATTCAGAAGAGAGAGACAGAAATAGACGATCTATAATCCGTCTAAAATTAGAAAGTTTTCTCGATAAAAATTAGTTCTGATAAACAGAATAGTCAATTTAAATTAAACTGAAGAAAATTTTATTCATAATTAAATGTTATCACAATATATTTAATTCATAGATCTAGTAAAGAAGAAATCCAAATTCGCCTCTATATAATTTCAAACGTTCAACAACGTCGACAACAACTAGAAAATCATATTTCAAGAATGTATAAAAATGTAGAAATTCTTAAAGTACCAGAAACTCATAAAGACGCTAATGTAGTTGAAAAGATGCAATATACTTTGGCAGAATTGCTGATATTATCGAAAATGAAACATTTAATTGTCACATCAAAATCAACATTCGGTATGATTGCTCAAGGTTTAGCAGGTAAGGGTGCCTGGATAGTACGACAAGGCGCACCACAAGAGCTACAAAACATTAAATCAGACCATTGTGAATGGGAATCGTCTAGTGAACCAGAATATCAAATGATGGGATCCCTTCAAACTAATGATAATTGTTCCCAGCACGGTGCATCTATGCCAAGTATTGGAGAACGAACTGTTGTTTAATGTCACTTTTGTCTTTATTCAATAAGATAGACTAGTTCAGAATTAGTAGCAAAAAAATTACAAATTTTTAAATTTTATTCATTAAAATTGAACCTATGAAAAATTTTTCTTTTCTTGTGGAACATATTTTGGTATCAGCAACAAAAGTATGCGTACTGTAGATATTGTAACAACAAAACAAAAATATTTATGAAATATGCCTGAAGAATCTTTTAGTTATTGTCATTGTAGTTAAAAAGCCACCCAATTGATAGATCATCATGAGTAATGCAACAGTGAAATGATCTTGAGAGTTTGAAGAGGAAAAATGTTTACTTTGTAGAATTATTTCATTACTTTAAAAACTGCATCTTGATTAAATCAATAAGAAGTTCACAAAATTGATCTAACTTTCAAACATTGTTAAAACGTCTATTGATCATAATAAATATTCTTGGTCAAAAATTTATTTGTTCACACTTCATACGGCAAGGATGCCGAGTGATCATTAAACAAGTCATTGTATACTAATTGAGAGAATGTATATGATTCCAATATCTTCAGATTCAGATTATCACCATACATCTGTTAAATGATTTCTATCTCATACCAATTTATTTTAAATCAATATTCTATATCAATGGCAATATTGACTTGAATAAAGTATTTTAAAACGGATCTGATACTTTCAAATTCAGAATTGAATTGACTGAATTAATGGAATTTCTATTGAAACTATTATAGTATGATTGTTTAACATTTCAAAATCTTCATTGATATGTTCTTTCAGCTTATGTATAGCTGCAAGTAACAGTAAAAATAAGAGAAGAAGTTGATTGCTGACAAGAAAAAAATCTTCATATTGATGCACAGAATACAAGTTAATCTGAACACTTTCGATAGAGACGAGTAGAAAAATGTGACAAAAATCTATACTTTCTGTAGAAATTTGCAAAGTTATAAAAGCATAAAATCAATTAATTGAAATGGACTACATTCATGATTAAAGTATAATCAAAAAATAGACTATTCTCATTAGGTGATGAGCAGCACTCTATTCAGTGAATACAAGATATACGTCTATGAGATTTTGCAGAGAATATATTTTTATTATTGTTGAAAATCTGTTTGTATGCCATCTGCTACCAATTCTACGCCAATAAATGAAATTGTTTACTGTCTAGTGATTCATTGCAAAATAACAATTCATTTTTTGTTTCCCTTGTTCTGTAATGGATATGATGAATGAATATTTTAGTAGATATCAAAGTAAAAATATCCTCACAAAATGTTTGTCTTTCAATAAAAAGATGGATGAGTCTTTTCTCGAACAGTTTCATATGATAATTGTAATATGTGCTATTGGCTCATAAAAACAAAAGCTTTGTGACAACAGACTAAACATGTAGTACATGTCATCATTTTATTCTCATTTGTATTTTTTTAACAATGTACGCTCACACGACGATACAATAATGTTCTATCAATGAAAGAAAGAAAGAACGAAACAAAGAAGGGGAAAAAAGAATCGATTAGGGGGCACCCGGGATTGAACCAGGGACCTCTCGATCTGCAGTCGAATGCTCTACCACTGAGCTATACCCCCCATGCCATGAAATATCTTGATGAAAAACTCATTATACACAGTACCAGAACTTAGTCGCATAAATCAAGTCATGCAATATTGACGAATGAAAACATTTATCCGGTTGATTGAATACACAAAACATAGAATATAGCATAATGTATTTTTATCCAACATATAAAATCTACGCGTCCAATATTGAATAACATAAAAAATTCAAAGGCAATATCACAAATACAATGACTAATTAACTTATTTGTTTAGAAAAATTACGAATTATCTTTTCAAATTTCATGATATCAAACATAAAACTTTGAGTCAAATCCAAAGATAGTGATCGATGTAATATTAAAGATCATGGTTTCAGAAATCTATAGAAAAAAACTCAATCATGAATATTATATTATAAAAAAAAATATTGTGTTTCTTCTCCAGAATATGATTCATAAATTATTTGAATGCCATGAATTGTACCAAACATCGCCCTATTTTATTAGTAGAAAGTCTTTTCTAGAACAATATTTATGTATATTGTCAGTTATTTTTTTAATCTATTGTATTTTTTCAATATTTCACCAATTCGTTCGTGTGAAATAGCATAGCCTTTATGTCCATAATTTCCTTCCATCGTTTCTGCTGCAATCATGGCATTTAAAATAGCTTCTTCAGTTGCTTGAGTAACAGCTTCAAAAAAAGGATTCATTGTTTCATTCGGTAACATGTCTAAATGCAATACATCAGTTTGTCTACCCATTATGTGTTGATTAGCAGTTGAAAATGCAATGAAAATATCACCTGAACTATCACCACCTCGTCCTCCTACGAGTCCTATTCCGATGGGTACACGACGAACAAGCCGCTTTAATTGGTGTGGTAAAAAAGGTGCGTCTGTAGCAACAACTACAATAATCGAGCCTTGTTCTTTTAATTTAGATTTTTCTTGCTCACTAACTGGCAAAAATTCATCTAACATTTCTTCACCTACAGGAATGCCAGCAATTGTCAATTGATTTCGTTTTCCATAATTGGACTGAACAAGAACACCAACTGTATATTCGTTATGCTTACGAGAAGATGTTCCAATACCACCTTTGAATTTATGCGTAATCATTCCTGTTCCTCCGCCAACGTTTCCTTCGTCGGCACGAATTGAACTTGCTGTTTTGATTGCATCAAAAAGATGTTCTGGCCGAACATGAAATCCATTTATGTCGTTAAGGAATCCATCCCATGTTTCAGCCACAACCGGTAAACTAAGTGAACAATAAACATCATCTGACAAACTTGATTGATTCGATTGTTGAAAGATCCATTGAATAGCTGCGTCTCTGACTGTGCCCACACTATGTGTGTTTGTTATCGCAATTATTGGTCCAAGAAGACCTGATTCTTCAAGCCATGTCGTTCCAGTCATTTCTCCATTTCCATTCAAGGAATACCATGCACCGAACACTTGTTGTTGTTCAAGATTTCCCGAAATATTCTTTCCTCTAGGAAGAATAACTGTGACACCAGTGCGTACCGCTTTTTTATTCATTGATTGTTCTTCTGAATCTTCAATTAATGTTCGATGTCCTACTTCAACGCCAGGAACATCAGTTATAGAGTTCCAAGTACCAGGAGTTCCCTTTAAAGGAATTCCAATGTCTCTTGCACGAATTCAATTGGACATTTCTCTACTAAAATATATTCATATATGTGAGAAATATGGATTAAGTGGGAAATGTGTGTTCTAGAGTTTTTTCCCATGAAATTCACGATAGAAATAAATGCGTATGGAAAAACTCATTCTTTATTGTTTTGGTTGGCCGTAGAAAGGCCGAAAGGAAAAATATCGAAAGGAAAAATACCGAAAGAAAAACACCGAAAGAAAAATATCGAAAGGGAAAAATGTCGAATGGATAAATGTCGAAGAGAAAAATG